AATTTTAAGAAAAAATCGATTACAATTATGTCTGTTATCGAATTATCAGAGCATCAATTTATACAATTATCAAAATATTCAATATTTTCACCGATACATCTCAGGTTTGGTGTAAAAACTTTCGACCTTTACCAAGCTAAACAACAGTTTTTTGAGCTCATCGATCTGATTTTAATTAGTATATGCTTTGGATTCGAATGCTTTGTAGGTTCCGTCGACCGAAAATAGAAGTCCAATCACAATTTAAGACACAAAAAAATGTGAGAGTGAAAACATTTAAGAGTGAAAAAATACAAAATCTTGAAAGATCATTCAGTACAGTACTAATTGCACAGCAACCAAAAGATCATATCTTTCAACCCATCAGCCCAAAAAATTGAAAAAGCTCGGAGATATTAGGCGGTTTAACTGATAAAATTCTGGTCACGTTCGCTTTCATGTTCATTACATGAGTTACGATCCTCTATTAATTAATTTTTCGATCGTTTAAAGTGCTGATTTAAATTATCCGGACAAAACGAACAAAACTTGAATTTTCAAACGCGTTTTTCTCAAATTGGGTTAAGATTAGACAAAAAGTGAACAGAACAAAAGTTGCTTGGAATTTCACCAGAATTATTATGGTGCCATTTTTTCTTCGAAATTCTCAACAAAAATTTTCCCCAAAAATGGGTCATTTTGGCTTTTTTCAATTAATCAAGAATTACGCTGAAAGTATTTTGTTAATTGATAAGAAAATTATATCACAAGAAGTCTCTTACACAGCATAACAAAGTTTCAGAAGGGTTAAATCTCCAAAAACCAGTATAAGAGAAAAAAAGTTCACTTGATAGTCAATAAATATGATTTTTACTATATAAAACCCAGAATCTGTTTAAAAATAAATTTTAAACAATTTGCGCAAATTTTTGGAGATTTAATCCTTCTTAAACTTTGTTGAACTGCGTAAGGGGCTTCCTGTGATATAATTTTCTCATCAATTAACAAAATAGTTTCAGCGTAATTCTTGATTAATTGAAAAAAGCCAAAATGACCCATTTTTGGGGTAAATTTTTTTGTTGAGAATTTGGGAGAAAAAAAATGCACCATATTAGTTCTGGTGAAATTCTAAGCAACTTTTGTTCACTTCACTTTTTGTCTAATCTTTACCCAATTTGAGAAAAACGCGTTTGAAAATTCAAGTTTTGTTTGTTTTTTCCGGATAATTTAAATCAGCACTGACTACGACAGAAAAAAGGCAAATTTAGGTTGGTTGGATGCCTTTAATGCCTTTATTTCCCAGAAACTTGACGACCTCGTTATGTCTGATTTGAAAATTCAAGGAGACCACTTATTTTTTCTGAAAGCGCTTTTTGCACCAAGAAATTCTTTTTTGAGGGGGAAACATTAGCCAAAAAGCAAATTTTTGGTCAGAACCTTCTAAAAAGTGCTAAAAATATTTGGCTGCAATCTAAAAAATTTTCACACATTTGGGTCGTTTTAGAAAACTAAAGAGAGTTTGGAAAAATCATTCAGTTCAATTCAAAAAAGGTCGACAATGTTTTCGAGCTTATTGAAAATCCGCCACCTTGTGAAAATCCTAGATCTACGACTGATCAACCGAGTAATCTTTTGCTCCTTATTTAGAGCCCCCCCCTCTACTAGTAACACAAAAATTTCAGCTATATACACTGTAATTATATTACAATGAGGGGGGGGGCTATCATTTTTTGGGGCGGGGGTCAATAATGGTAAACTATTTAATCCCTTTGCAACTTTCGCACTAGGTGCAGAAGCCGACTTACTCTGCCTCGGCTATTAGACACAAACTGTTCTGTCCACCCGAGGAGGCTGTGGAAAAATTGAACATGACCGAAAGAATGGCCAAATCCACCCTCAAACTGTTCAAACACGGCCAGAAGATAGACGAGGAGAAGTACAACAGTCCCAGTGCCAATGGGGAAAATTTGGGTCCCAGACTGGAGGCGGGAATGAGGTCCGACAAGCAGACGCGAGACTACGCCGACCGGGTGTTCAAGCCGACAGTAATTGTGCTCATGGTTACAAGCGTGTTAATGGTTGCAATCAATGCACTCTTGGAATAGACGGAAAAAGTCATTATTACAAAAAAAAAGAACCTTGTTTTCATGTTAGAAAAGATAAAAAGTTCGATGGAACTCAGGAGAAAACGCATGAATTGGTGATAATAATTATATCAAAATTAACAATGAAGAATTGGAACCGTAATTATTTAACTATATAAAACCTATAAAAATAATGATGATGGGCTAACAAGAAAATTGATGAAAAGTCAACTAATTGTTAAATTATTTATGTTTTATGTCAATTAGCAGCAAAAACTTAAGATTTGTGACATATCAACTCAAGTTTAAAAAAGTTTTTTTTCAAACAACGTCTTCAGCTTTACAGCGACCTCTGTGGCTAAGAAAGGTACCAGAATAGTATTCCATGGCAACACACGCCAAAGGGCCTTCAAACAATTGGTGTGATTAATTAAGTA